AAAAAAAGGAAAAAATAAAAAGGCAAAAAAAATGTCTTTGCATAGTCAATAAAACACAAATAAATAGCCATTCTTCTGGTATTCTCTCTAGTTTCAGCCAGGATTCATACAACATCAGCAATGATATCCATATCTACTTCTTTCAATTAGCCTGAATTTCTGACATTTTCAACAATCTTCAGCAAGATTTTACTTGTATGTGATTTTAAAGATAGTGTCTGATAATTTCCGCATTCTACTGGATCATCCTTTTTTTTAAAAAAATGGGAAAAATATATTCCGATCTTTCCCCCCTTCTTAGGAAAGTCTTTTTGCTATTTTTCTAAGATTGGGGGCCCTTACTGCCCTTTACACCTGTACTGTGTTCATCCTGGCTCTTTTGGCCGTCTTTGTGAGGTAAGTTCCTGATTAGATATTATCACCATTTAAGAATGTGAGGGACGTATTCCAGATTAAAATTCAGTTTGTTCTTCACTTCAACGAAAAGGTCATTTCAATGAAAAATGCAAACCAAGTGGATTAACCACGGGGAAACTGAAACAATAACTGACCACGGTTTTCCTAATAATGCTATTTTGCTCCGGTAGGCATAAGGAGACAAGACTCCATTGGGAGAACGCAAACCAGGTCCTAGCCACCCGAGTCGCACTTACCTAGCGCTAAAGGAGCTGCGGCGGCCGACTGGCGAGAAGAGCACCGGGGAGCTGACAGCTGAGGCCAAGGGCAAGCTCTTCCTGTTTGCCGCTCGGGGCGTAGAACTAGCCCCACTGCCGACAAGTGGGCCCCTTCGAGACCCAGGTCCCGGAGTCCGAGGGGACAGTACCGCTGGGAACATGATGCCAGTGAAGCAGAGGGTAGGAACGTGAGTGTTCCAAGATCCGGATCACAGACCTCAACTCACCCAACTGAAGAACTGGTAGGTGAAAAGACGCCTGGTGATGACGTCAGACGCAGCGCCGCCCTGTGCTCGTGATGGCAAAGCAGTGTTTTGCGCTAGGGTGGCGGCTTTTAATGATGCAGAAGCACTGCGACCTAACGGGGCGTGGTCGGACTCCGGCGACTTGAAGGAGGCGGGATGAGAGTGTCCATTACTGGAGATATTTAGACTGTGCACCCAGACCTGGAGGCAGCAGGTTTTGGGGTTGCTGCCAGAGCATCTTCCAGGGAACTCAGACCGGAAAACCACGCAGCCTTTCTGACTCTGTGCATCTCGTGAAGCCTCCTTTCTGAGCCTCCTGACAAATTAGGCAGAAGATCCTAAGCAAAGGTCCTGAAACAGCAAAGAACTTACGGCTTTTCAGGAACCTGAAACGAAAAGGAGAAAGAAAAGAAAAAAATCTCAAAATGACTAAAAGTGAGCCATTTAGAGAACTGAGATCAGAAGGAAATGAGGTTTGACAGCAACTAATCACGACTTCAAAGTGGGTAGTTTGCCATGCAGTCTGAACTGACTCATTGCTGACCCTCCAGCAGATTGTGCATCTGAGAGCTGGACAATGGATAAGGACAGTTGTTATGTGCGGTCGAGTCACCTGCGAATCATAGCGACCCTATGTACAACAGCCCTAAACCCTGCTCTATCCTGTGCCAATCGCACTGCCTCTGACACACCCATTCTGATTACCACAGTCACCGAAACAATCCACCTCATACAGGGTCTTTACTTCTTGCGCCGTCCCCCCACCCTCCCAAGCACGATGTCCCACTCCAAGGACCTGTCCCTCCTTACAACATGTCCAAAGTATGTCAGAGGAAGCCCCAGAATCCTTGCCTCCAAGGAGCAGCCTGGCTTAACCCTCTCCAGGATGAATCTGTTTGTTTTCTCGGCAGTCCATGGTACATTCAATACTCTTCTCCAGCACCACAGCTCAAAGGCATCAATTCTCCTTCTATCCTTCCTAGTCATTGTCCAACTCTCTGATGCAAAACAAGTGATTACAAACCCTGCTCAATTCCTTGCCAATTTTATTGTGTCCAACACACTTGTCCCTTGCGCTGAGTCAATCCATTTCATCATGGATCTTCCTCTCCAACGCTGTCCCTCCACCCTCCTAAGCATGATGTCCCTCTCCAAGGACTGATCCCGCCTTGCAAAATGTCCAAAGTATGTCAGACGAAGCTTCAGAATCCTTGCCTCCAAAGTGTGGTCTGGCTTCACCCTCTCCAGGACAAACTTGTTTATTCTCCTAGCAGTCCATCGTATGTACATTCAGTACTCTTTTCAAGCACCACAGCTCAAAGGCAGCAACTCTTGTTCTATCCTCCCTAGTCATTGTCCAGCTCTCTGATGCATACATACATAGCAAGTAATTGCAAAGACTGTGGCCCGTATCGGGTGCACCTTAGTCTCCAGACATCGTTGCTCTGACAGCAGACTTGCCCACTGCAATTCGTCTTTTAATTGCCTGGCTCCTGGTACTGAGAGTGTTGACTGTAGAGCCAAGCAAACTGAAACTGAACAATCTCAGTCTCTTCATCATCTACCATGATGCTGCCAATCAGCCCAGTGGTGAGCATCTTTATTTTCTTGGTTTTCAAGGAATTGATACCTTTGAACTATGATACTGAAGACAAGTGCTAAATATTCCCATGGACTGCCAAAAGAACAAACATGTCTTGGAGAAAGTACACCCAAGAGTGCTGCCTGCAGGCAAAGATGGGAAAGTTTCATCTCACATACTTTGGGCATGTTGTTCGCAGAGGCTATTCCTTGGAAGAGGACACCGTGCTTGGAAGGTCAGCAAAAGAGAAAGACCCTCAACGAGATGGACTGAAACAGTGGATCAAGCATATCAAAGATGATAAGGGATGTTCATAGGGTCGCTATGAGTCTTACTCAATTCCTAAAAACAATAAATAAAACCAGTGGAGACTATCCATCCTTCTCTCTTGGAGCAGCTGGAGTTCAAACTACCACTGAGGCAGCCCCTTTAGGTCAGCATTGATGCTCCCTAAGGACCACAGCAACAGAGGCCCCCTAAGGACTCTTTAGTAATGGGTTCTTAGGAATATTGTAAAGCCTTGAAGCGCATCAATGATAGCCAAAGGAAGTAGTTACTAGAACCTCCAAGCCATGCAGCTCTGCAGAACAAAACCAAGGAAGTGTGTGCACTGTGGCCTCATCCTCCCCTAGCCTCCAGTCAGGCAGGGTGCATCTCAAATGGAAGAAGACACACAAGAAGGACACTAGTCAGGCTTTTTCAGTATGACCTGTTAAAGGGTAGCGACTAGAACAATAGTTTAAAATGTACACTTCACATGAGACAATAACAATGCTTATTTATACCATCCTTGGCTGGCCATTTTATTTTTTTAAGAAAATGTAGAATGCTTCAAGAATATGCATGTCATTCTTGCCCAGGGGCCACACTAACCTTCTCTGTGTAGTTCCAAATTTAGTATGTGTGCTGCTAAAGTAAACACTGGTCATTCTCTTTAATCTGGTGTTCTATGATAGAAAATTAGACTGATATAGTGAATTGTAGTAATTCTCAAACTTAGACATACACCAGCACTATTTGGCAGTCTCTCTAAAATAATGCTGGTCATCACACGACTTTCTGAATCAGAAAGGAGGTCTAGGAGCTTGGGTGAACTAGTGGTACCGAGAGAAAGCTATGACTTGGTTCCTACACTGGCAATAAGTTTGAGTAACTAAAGAAATTAACATCATCTGAAGATTACCTATTGACAGCATGCTTGGAAAGGTGGAAAAGTCATCTTAAGAGAGGAAGAAGACCTTTAACAAGAGGTATTGACACATCATGACTGTAACAATTGGTTCAACTATATCAGAGATGATGAGGGTAGCAGAGGATATGGCAGGATTCAGATCCATTAGTCATAGGGTCACTATGAGTTGCATTACACTTCACTACCACTGAATGAGATGTAGAAAAGTATGACCAAATGACATTAATACAATGTAGTTCTCATGTACTTGCTCCATCTATATACTTTGTAACACTTCTCTTTTCGTGTATTTTTTTAGTCAGCTTTTGACATTTTTATGGAATAAAATGGGCCTCCCAAATGAAGCCCAACATTATAAAAGTATATTTGTGTTCATATTCTCTTCCTGACTCACTGTAGTGCTTTAACAACCGCTGATAACAAGATGTCTTTAGAAATGTCAAAATTGGACACCCAGCCCCCAACTTCAAAGATACCACCCTGTCTGACTACAAAGGAAAATGTATTACTTTTTTACCCTCTTGACTTCATCTTGTATGCCCTACAAAAATCACTGATTTAAGTGAGAGGGCAGAATTTTTTTTAATTCATTTTAATGAAAGTTTACAGAGACTTTGGGTTTCCATTCATTCATACATTGTTGCACTTTACCCACTACCCACCTCCACCCCCTCAATTCACTCTTTGAAAAGTAAAAGCAAAATTCTTTCAATTCACTCTTTGAAAAGTAAAAGCAAAATTCTTTCAATTCACTCTTTGAAAAGTAA